TGGCGTAGGCGTAGATCTTGCCAGCGGCGAGGAGGACGAGGAGGGCGGTTTCTCGGCTGGTTGGTGGATGATTGGACGGCCGTGTCTTCCTGGCGCTGGTTTGCTGTGCGAGCTTTCCTTTTCTGGCGCCGTAGGCTCGTCGATTGTGGCGAGCACCGCGGCGAATGTGTTGGTCAAAAGGTCTACAGCGAGCGAGGTCTGATGGATGAGCTCCTGGGCGTGAGGATGGAAGCCGGCCTCGATCTCGGCCATGTCGGGGACCGTCAGGGCGGCGCAGGATGGTTTGGGCGTAGGTTTCGACTGTGGTTTATCAAGTGGCTGATCATGCCGGTGCTTGGGCCGGGCCACGAGCTGCGTCTGAGCCGTCGGCGGGCGAGCTTCGCTGTTATTGTTGTCGGCGAGGCCGTAGAAGTTCTGAACCTGATTCACGACGACAGGCGCAGGGCCGAAGCCAGGCTGAAAGCCGAACGGCGGCGCCCACTGCTGCGACGGCTGGTTTGTGACGGCATTGTGGTAAGACGGAGGCGCTGGGAGGGCGGGAACTTGGTGATGTTGTGTCTGTGGTTGTAGTTGTGTCTGATATTGAATTTGCGGCTCGGCGGTTTTATTCGCCTTGACCACCTTCTTGCGATCAAACCAGCCCATGTCGAACGTAAACCACCATGGACCTGATCAAGCAGCAGTGATAATGTCTTGGCAAAGTCGGTCCTGGTGTCGGCGCCGTTAGATCGACAGCCAAATCATCGCCATGAACATCGTCATCATCAACACAGAGTGCAAAGGGAGCAACAGATTCATGAGGCCGGGGACCAAGAACTTCTTCAAAGAACCAGGCATGCACGGCGCTACACAGCACTTTATGACCCTCCCCCGTCCCCGAGGACAGGATCCAAACAACGCGCCCACCACCCCTCATCACATGCCCACCAAGCAAGGGCCGCTCCAAGCCCCCGACTCCCCTGCGATCCCTGCACAACCCCAGCTTCGCCCTCCGATTCGCCCGCTGCAGTCTCAGCCCCAAGGCGAGCTCCAAGGCGAATCCAGCAGGGCAAAGAAGAGGCAGCAAGCGAAGAGCAGCAGCAGCAGCACGGCGGGAGCCTCACGGTGCAGAATGGGCGTACGAACAAAGTGCTTAAGAACCCGCCTCACGTACAGGCCTCACTGAGTGTGACGCAGACGAAATGCCCTTGACGGCCAAATTGCGTGAAGCAGTGCACGACGTTCTTAGGAGGGGGAGGAGGGTTGGGGCAACCTGCATGTATGGCACGACCCCAGACCAGTGGCGAAGATACCTAGCCGCCGAGACGCCCTGGTCCCCTCTCGAGAGAGAAGCAGGGAAAAAAAAACAATAGGCCCCCAAGAACTCACAAGCCCGGCGGCCCGCCTGCAGCTCAGCCGAGGGAGGGTCGGCATGAACCCGGACTTGGCAACCTGCGAAAGCCACGGGCGGCGATACGACAAGCCAGGGCACCAATGACGGGCGAACGACGGTGGAGATGGGTAAAGAGCTGTTTTGTCTGCCGTCCAAATTGTGTCGACGAGCAGGCTTATCCGCCGTCTGTTGACGACGAAGAGCGCTTTGGGTGTTCACGGACAGCCTGTCAAGAAGCGCTCGAGTCAAGAAGCGGACGCATCACATCGTCGTAGCACCGCAGAAAAAGAACACCCTTGTACGAAGACAAACTACTTTTCAATTCACCGAAGCTACAGACACTTCACCCAACGCGACTAGGCCTCTTGCACGGAGAACAGGCCCAGGCGGACGAGAAGGAAGCCCACAGACCCCAGCACGCATCAGAAGAAACAACCACAACCAAACACGGGTCTCACAGGACCGCAGCCTCACACAGGACTCGTCGGGTCGCGCACGCTACCGCCGCTGCTGCGACTGCCGCTGCCGGTGCCACTACGCACGCTGCTGCCCGAGCCCGAGTGGGCACCACGCGACGGCCAGCTGAGCCCCGGCGGCGGTCGTGAGCCGACGCCCGCGCCCGCCTGCGCCGGCGTGTTGTGGAACGACTGGTACTCTTCGTCGCCGGCACTCGACTGCGTGAAGCCCGAAACGTCGCTGAGCATACTACTGGAGCGGCCACGGGACTTGACAGGTGCCTGCGAGGGAAGCCAGTGACCCGCGCCCATGAGCGGCGCGGGCAGCAGCGAGGGCTGCGCCCCCGGACCGCTCGTCGAGTGGGAGGCTGTCGTCGTCGCTGCTGCTGGCCACATCGAGGCCGGGTAATGGGGGGCCGCCGCCGGGTTCGGGTTCCACGAGTTGCCCGAGCTCGTCGCGTTGGTCGGGGCCGCCGCCTCAAAGCCCTGCTGGTGCTGGTGCTGGTGCTGATGCTGGTGCGGTTGCTGGCCGTCAAACGAGAGGCTGTTGTTGCTGTAGTTCATCTGTTGGTGGAACGTCTGGAGCTGGCTCATGAGGTTGTTAACCTGAGCCTGCTTGGTCGCGTTGTTGGCCTGCATCGTCGCAATGCTTTCCCGGAAGTTGGTCTCGATCTGCTTCGTCTCCGCCTCCCACGCCGCCCGTCCTTGGCGCCGGCGCTCGGCTTCGTCGAGGCCGCGGTTGTTGGCATCCGTGATACGCATGAGCTCCGTGTCCACCTTGGCAATGCGGGCCGCCATCTTGTTGCGCTTTGTCTGGAGGGCCGACTGCTCGTCCTGCGCCGCCTTGATCTGTGCCGCAAGCTTGGCCTTGAAGTCCTTGTGCTCCTTGGACGCCTTGTCGAAGACGATCTTCTCCGCAGACCAGCTCTTCTCGGCTTGCTTCTTGCGTTCTTGCAGACCTTCGGGCGCCTTTTCAAACTCCTTGAGCAGCGCGTCGAGCTCGGCAATCTCCTTTTCGGCCTGGGCCTTTTGCGTCTCTTGCTGGATGATCTTTTGGCGCAGCTTGTCGTCGTTGCCGCCGCCGGACTGGATTGAATTGTCGAGCTTCTCGTTTTCCTTCTTCAGCGCGCTGACCTTGCTCTTCCAGTCCTTGCGCAGCGTCTTGAGCTTGGACTTTTCATCCGACAGGCGCTCGTTCTGCGCGCTGATCGTGCTCTTGAGCGTCGTGGCGGGGGAGTCGGGGCGTAGGGATTGCTGTCCGTTGATGGCGGGGCTCGCGGGAACGCCCTCCTGGTCCTTGGTCGGCGCCTGGGTCGTACGGATGCTCGTTGAGAAGATGACGCGGTCGGTGTGCGTGTCGACGAATTCGCAGACGTACTTGCTAAGCGGTCGCAAGCCGTAGACGTCGCCGCACCATCGGTGGCCCGACGCGCGCTCGCCGTCCTCGTCCTGGACGCGGAAAATGCGCGTCGGCTGCCAGTAGGCATTGTTGACGCGGACATAGAAGGGCTTGGACGTGTCGACGCCGGCGGGTCGCGAGCGTGTCCGTTCTCGGTGGGTGGGTCATATCGGCAAATGACTGTGTGAGCAAATTTCGTCGTAGCCA